GCATCCGGCCCGCGAAGCCTTTTCTTGTGGCCCGCGAACTAAAATATATTAGTTGTCATTTTTTTGCGGGCAATTTTCGTAAAAAATTTATATGGGTTTAAAATACTTTTCTCAATTATAAAAACCTAATTTCTTCGTTTCTGTGAAATTTATCATACCAACTGTGCAAAACAAACTTGCATCCAAGAAAATATTTATTCAGATACAAAAATAATCGTGTATGTTGCTCTTTTTTATTTCATTTTTTTGTATTTTGTGAATATAATTTAGCATGTGTGTATCAGAAATTTTCTCGAAGAAATTCTCCGATTTGACCTTTTGAAACCTCTCATTTTGGACGAAAATATTTATACACACATTTGTAAATTTAAAATGTAAATATCTATTCCCTGGTGGTTGCAGCAGACAAAACTCAATTTTGTCATCGAACATTTTGTGTGCTACTATGTAAGTTTTAATACCAACCTTTTTAAAGTTTTCTATCTTAACAATTAGATATCTGTTGCATTGTTACATATCCTTCATAGTGTGCGACATTTGTGTAATAACAATTCATAGTGCAATAACAATTGTGTTCGGTGGCGTGCCCAAAATATTGTGTTAAACATTGGTTCGCCATCCCTGATGTAGGGTATACCGGGCTATGGCCTTGAACCGTAAAAAAAACATTGATGTAGGATATACCGGACAAATGTATACAGGGCAGTGGCACTTAACTAGATGTAATATATATTTTGGGCATTTACCAAAGCGACTATGTGATTGTCAACATAATCGTTAATCAAAAATTATCCATAATGATCACAGTGTCACCGTATTGAATTTATATTGTTGCTATTAATAATTTGCAACGTTGTTATATTTGATATACCACCTAAGTTTATTATCGTTAGCTGGTGATCGATGAATAATAGATTTTGACGTCCTTCCCTATATGTTGGAGTCCTATATTTATTACATTTATAATATTATTGAATAAAGATAATTATTGAACATGATATTATTGTGTGAAGGTTAAAAATAACCAATATAAAAAAATAATAAAAATTAGTTGGCAGAAAATATAGTGATATATTTAAATCGTGATATATTATATATCGCGATAATAAAATCAGCAGAATCACCGACACATGGTCCCTACAACCTACATCGGCTTCCAATACGAATACTCAGCCCCCATAAGACCTCACACAAAATATGCATATCGATCATATTTTGAGTGAATCAAGAATATCAACTATTCATAGTGTGTTGAATATCAAAAATATTCTATTTTTTTTTTTTGCATCGCAGAAAAGAATGAAATAGAGAAAAATCAATTATAAACAATGAGTCGTCATATAATGAAAGGGCAGCAGAGGTGAGTGCCCCCTCAGGGAAATCTCCCGCTTTTCCATTGTTAAAACATAAGAATAACCAACAGAAAAAAACTTCCATATCTTGGAGTAGACAGCCCGTTTCAATGCCTTCAGTTCGGGTTTCTTGAGGCAGTAAACGAACAGTTCGTCAGTCTATTGATCTATTTATGTTTGAAGTATTACTCATGAAAAATGAATGCATTCAGTTCCTTTTTTTGCTTCATATATTTTGATAATCGCTTATTGCGAAACCCTATTCTCATAAGGGAACGAGGAAAATAGAACCAAGGATTTTTTGGTAACATTCAGAAGAAAAAAAAAGATATAACTTATTAAGGAGTTCCACCCCTCGGCCAAGGGAATCCGCAAAAATTTCCCTAAAGGAGTGCAGCAACCATGAAAAATTTCCAATAAAATATTTCAAAAACCATGTAAAATATTAAGTTTATTAATTTATTATGGTTTGAAAATTAATTTTATTAATTTATTCATTGCCAACGTTTGCTGACATGAAACTTACGATTTTAACATTTAAAAACGTTATATATATATATAAATTAATACAATATATTTTTAAAAATATAAAGTTTTTTTTTAAACCCTGTATTAATTTTTTATTTTATTATTATTTTTTTACTGCCATCAACAAGCAAACATATTTCAGTCAAAGTATTAAATTTAAAAATGTAATTTTTTTACTCATTGTAATTGCTGTAATCGTTTTGTAATTGTTGATTTTGCGAGCATTCAAAATGGTACAGTGCACGAAAAATAAACGGACCACCCAGAATAACTTTTGATCTAATGATTGGATCTTCACTTTCTAGGACTTAATCTTGATGATTCGGTGGGGAAGGGGTGACCTCAAATGTACCAATTAGTTAATACATAGGAAGTAACCGCAATCTGGGAAATATGATCCCCACAGTAGAGCGATTTAAACCCCTTTATGCTAATTTTAATGTTTGCGCATTAAGCCAGATCTGAATATTTTTTTAGCAAATTTTAAAATGTTTGCACAAAAATTGTAAAATTTGTTTATCCTAAGATTCAATCAAAAAATAACTTAGTTTATGATTTTTTACTTTTTTTTTTAATATTAAACGAAACAATTTGTGAATTGTAAGGTATACCACTTTTTACATCATTTTAAAAAATGTAATTTTACATGACAAAATTTGAGAGAAATCAGTTGAATTGTTCTTAAGAAATCTAATTTTTAAAGTACGACTTTTTTACAAAATTCCTTTTATATTTCAGAGAAAAAGAGTCTGATGAGAAGGTAATTTATAAGGTAAATTAGGAGGAAAATAAGCATTGGTTCATTCAATAAAAAAAATAAATTTTATTCATTTTCGTTTGACATTATGGTTCTCTGATTGCATTAGTTCCATAAGAAATTAGATATATTTCCGCTATTTTTAAATTATAAATCATATTTATTTTAACTATACAATTTAGTTAAAAGAAGTTAATATCAATAATCAATAGAAGCTCGGTAATTTATTTTTTAAAAATATTAATAATAAAAAAATAAGCTGCATTCTTTATCGCTGAATTCATCAAAAACGCAATTTTGCGATATCTCCCTCATGTCACTAAATCCTCTACAAGAAGAAAAAAAAAGTCGTGTTTTCGTCTAAGATATAAAATATTATTCAAAATAGAAATAAATGCTTCGAAAGCTGCTCCCTCG